ATCGTATAGTATTAATTTATCGTATAATATGTAGTAGAAAAATCCGCCCGTTCGGAACAAATCTTAACTTGATTACCTTTATGCATACGGGCCCTGAATTTAAATCAGATCGGTTCTGCCATGGAGGTTTTTTTTTTATTTTCAAAATACATATTTTGAATTGTGACTATCTATAGTTCCGTATCTTTCTATCTGTATAAACCAACGATCGACAAGTGCGTACATTTTGTGAAATAAACATTTATATGTTTTAAAATGTCAATAATTATTGACAAGTAGTACAAACTTACATTTTTGAAAATTTACCGATGGAAAATATCTAAATAAATTGTTACTTCTTCAAATCTTTGGTTGGAATTAAATATCATTCATTACACCAGCAATGTAATTCATAAACAAGTGAGAGTAAACTTGACTACACGTATGAGTTTAGTAATGTATAGTATATCACTGTTGGACTCAAGACACACAAAAAAATGTACACATGATGTATATTATACCTGATAATTTTTAAATATAAAGTTCCAAATTACAGGCCGCGTACACTGCTCAGCAGTGAAGCGGTGCGTGAACCTGCATTACGTGTAATAAGAGTTTTTAACCGACAGGAAATCGCTTGAATACCTGGAAGTGTCACCTCACAGTACCTCTGGCAATAATTCCTTTAGCCATGCTGATGGTCAAGTTAGGGAATTAAATAAAGGCATTATATAAAAGCTGGGACATAATAATTTCTTATATTGTATAATAGTCCAAGATAAAAAAAGATATGAAGAAATTAGATTATTGAAAACAATTTTACACGGAACATCGCTAGTTAATTATGGCTTTAAACTATGAGAGAATCCATAAAAGAAATAGCTCTAAACTAATTCCCATATATTTACTTGTTTTATAAAGTTAGTAAAAAAAAAGTTTAAAAATGACAGATCATAATTATTTAAAAATATTAGAGAATGTAGAGAATTGATATTTTGAATTTGAAATCGATGGGCTCTTATCTAGGAGAATAAAATGTTAATATTTATGAATTTGTGCTGTTCTATATAAAATGAACATGATATCAATTTTTCATTCTTTTGCGGAGTTTCCCTTTAACTTTTTAGACTTGTATTGCTGTTTTGGGGGTTTTATTGTACTATCATGATACTATATTAAAATTCATTATTATACAATGAATAAATAATATTCTTAAAAATGGCATTGATAATTTCTCTTTTCGGTAAATGGACTTTTTTTTTGGCGCTAAAACTTCCGACTTTTTTTTGCTAAATGTCCTATCTATGCGCTAAAATATTCTCCACCGTTGATAGTGATACACTTTTGGTGAATTAATTGAATATGAATACACATCACTTTACATTATTCAGTGTAAAATAAGTTAAAATCATCACACGGCATTGCTTTAACACATGAAACTCCGAGCCGGAATATGTACAGAATGTATCAACAAGGAAATTGCATACACATATAGAAAACATAATGAAAGAGGGACGAAAGATACCAGAGGGACAGTCAAACTCATAGATCGAAAACAAACTGACAACGCCATGGCCAAAAATAAAAAGACAAACAGACAAATAATAGTACAGATGACAGAACATAGAAAACTAAAGACTAAGCAACACGAACCCCACCAAAAACTGGGGTGATCTCAGGTGCTCCGGAAGGGTAAGCAGATCCTGCTCCACATGTGGCACCCGTCGTGTTGCTTATGCTATTACAAATCCTGTAAGTCACATTCGTGAAAAGGGAAGGGTATTGTAGTTACGTCATAAGGAACATATCCGATATCATCTGTGAAACGGTTATTCCTTAACGGTCAACCAACTCGTGATGGCGTCCGTAAAATGTACGAAGGGATGATTTCAACTTCACCATTTGGAACTCTTGATTTAATAGCTTCCTTGTGAGCAGCAATCCTCTATCAAGGAAATCATGATAGGAAACACAAGCCCGGGAATATCGAATCAATTGGGAGATATATACTCCGTATGCAGGTGCTGCTGGATTGTTGCTACATAGAAATGGAAAGTTCACAATTGGGAAGCTTAAATCATCTCTTTTGTCGTAAAGTATTGTTATCAACCGACCCTCATTGTCAATTTCTAGATGTAAGTCAAGAGATGAGGCAGACTTAACTGTATCTGTAGTATCCTTTATCTCTAGTTCGATGGGATAGATTCGTTCAACATAGTCACCAAATTTTGTATTATTTAGTGAGAGAACATCATCTATATAGCGGAACGTAGAGTTAAAGGATATTGCTAACTTCTTATCTTTCTTCCTAAGAAGTTCCTGTATGAAGTCAGCCTCATAATAATAAAGAAACAAATCCGCAAGAAGAGGGGCACAATTGGTTCCCATTGGAATTCCGACAGTCTGTTGAAAAACACGTCCTCAAAACGTAACAAATATGTTGTCAATCAAGAAATCAAGCATCTTGATAATGTCAGTTTCAGAGAATTTTTTGTTTGAATCAGAGTGATTCTTTACAAAGTAGGATTTATCACTCCCCAAGACAAGATACTTGTATCTACGTTCGCCATTCTTTTTAATGAAACAAAGTAATACCAACTCTTTCAATTTGTCTTTTAGTTTGGAATGGGGAATACTTGTGTAAAGTGTAGAAAAGTCAACTGTTTTAATACTATTGCAAGATGAGAGAGTCTTAGATTGTATGTACTCTAAAAGATCTTTGGAATTTGTTAGTATCCACATCTGATTCACGCCACCTCTAGAATAGGCAGTTTCACAATAACTTTGGAACCCGGCTTTGATTGCTGATAAAATAGATGTTAATAATTTAGAAAGAGGTTTCGTGGAGCACTTGGAAGACCCAGCAATATACCGTTGTTTGTAAGGACACTTATGTAGTTTAGGTATCCAATACAGTGATGGAAGATCCAGTTCTTCATCTTTGGTTGAAATTCCAAAGGAACATAGAACAGACCTATGATTATCCAGGATTTCCTCTTTGGTAAGTGTCGTGAGGATATATGTTGAGTTTCCAAGTGAATTGTCAATACCTAATTCATTTATCAAGCAGTTTATGTAATGATATTTACACACAAAAACGATGTTGTTTGGGGCTTTATCTGCGGGGACAAAAACATATTTGTCATGAAGGTAGGACAAGTGTTTTGCAACATTTGGGTCTTTAAAAATTGATGTAGCGTGGGTATTGATATGCCCATTTAGTTTCTTAATTCGAATTTGTATCAACGACCTCACATCCTTAATCCATTCGGAAAGAGTATCTACGTCTTCTTTCTCGCGTTTAGCCCATTGCCTGGCATAATCCTCGACTGAATCCATCAGTATTTTGAAGTTGTATTTTCAATTGATGGATTAAGGCTCACGATATTTCGGACCTTTGGATAAAAAATTTCGCAGGGAAGTGTTATTGACAATGTTGAGGTCTCCGGTAATAACGTGGCCAGCCGGATTATATGTGAATTGGGAACTAGCACAGGTGCAATCAGGAGGTTTAGACTTGAAGTCGTCAATGTTGAGATCCTGCAAAACGTGTTTGTAATTGAAAATTTTAGTTTCAATTGGTTTGGTATAGGTATAAGAAATTATTGGTACAGACTGATATTTAAAATAAGGAGGTATTTTCGACTGAACTAATTAATGATGAAGGATATTGCCTAAGTTGACGCCATCGATACCTTTGTTAGCAAATGAAAGTTCTCTTTTCTCTTTTTCATCTTTTCCAATGCGAACTGGTTTGAAAAGTCTGTGACTTGCAAAATCAGCTTAAATTCTGCATTCCTACTTTCTTACACTTCACGCCAGTCCATATCACAGCAAACACAAAAACATCTTTAAAATGTTTTTAAAATGTTGTGTCTAATTTCATGAAAATATCACAAAAAAAACGTGAGAAAAACATTAAATGTATGGTAGAATATATATCACTAAAATGTTTTCTAATATATTTTCTAAAATATTTGCATAATATAATTAAAATGTTGTAAAGAAATATCATGATAATGTGAAAAACAATGGCGTATAAAACATTTTGATAATCTTTTAAAATATATTTTCTAAAAATATTTTCTGAACGTTTGAAAAACATCATGAACATCAAATAATGTTATAAAAATGTTTTTGGATGTTTTCTTGCAAGTGAGAATGTGCCTAAAAATGTTTTCAAAATGTTTTAAGAAGATGTTTTTGGTTGATATCTAGATCATATCAATATAAAAATGTCTGTACTTTTGATTGAGTTTCCTGCTTTTTTAAATAACAAATCATTAGTTAAATTAATTTATACACAGTGATTAATTCTATATACAAACAAGAATAAATCAGTTGTTTTGCTAAGCATATGAAATTCACAATTCAAAGTCTCTAAAAACAAGAAGTATCTACAAATTTTGACACATCCAAAATGGCAGACACAACTCATCATGGTCAAGCCACTTAACAAATATGAAGTCATTCTGTTCATCAGCATTACTAATTAAAATAATGAAAAATTTCAGAACATTCAACTTTTGAAATACAATGTATAAGCAAACAGGAAACAGGTGTCAGATACAAAAATGTTCACACATCACAGTTCATCACTATCAAGCAGCTCATTAAATATGAACTCATCTTTATCAGCAGTTTTGGGAAAAACAGTGATGAAAATATTTGTTGGACAAAATCCGACAAATATAGGTGGACAGACGACAGACAGTGCAAGAAAGCCCACATTCCAACCACAATGGTATAATGTTTAGTTTTTCACTCTCAACTTTTATTACCTATCTTATAAACATCATGCATATGTCAACCTGAACATGCATGACATATTTGCCATTGGACATTATGCAAACATTATACACATTTTTAAGTTCAATTTACATTGACTAAAACTTGTGTCCCAAATTCAGATTTTTCAATACAACTTCTCTTTCTAAACTAAAACGATACACTTCTAATAGGGTTACATCTTAAGTCAATAATCATTGATAATTGGCTGAAGAGATGAGAACAAAACACCATTTTACATCAACTATTTGATTTATTTAAGAATACATTGAAAAAGTCAATCAATTGTCTTATTCAAAATCACTTGGAATGTCTTGTAGTGTCTTATATCTTTTTCTTGCTGTGCCATGCTTCTGAAAAAAAAAAATCTTACATTCATATATAAATTTCTTGCACATTCCTATATTATAGAACGATTCACGTTGCCTGAAGGATATACATCCCCTCCCCTTTAAAGGTTTGAAACAAATAATGATGATAGTCTGTCGGAAGGGAACGATAAATGGCTGACCGTGTTAAGAGAAAGCAATATGCCACGCTGAAAAAAAAACCACATAAAAAACTTTATAGACTAGATATGTGTCCAGTCAAGAGTCTTGTTTTATTATACTCGTTGATTGTTGTCTATCATATTTTCTTTTCTTTTATTGTTTTGTATAAATCAGGCTGTTGTTTTTCTTGTTTTTTTTAGTTTTCATTAAATGCATTGTATCATGTAGGGGCCTTTAAAAGCCCTGCTACATAATGTCATTAAACATCTTATTGTCCTTTTTAAGTGTTAAACTCTGTAGAGTGACATAGTTTATAACTTGTCATTTGTATCTAAGGGCATAGGATACAGTCCTAGAAGTATACTATAGGCACATAATAACTTATCGAAGTGTTACGCATTGTTTTCGCAATGATGATAATAATATAACATAACTTCCGAGAAACACACAGATGTCATTAAATGAGTTGTTTATATGTATTTGAAATACTTCAAAGGAAAGCAAATATGTTGTTTATGAAAGCACACTGTTGGACTAAAAGATTGATTTAAATAAACAACTTGTTTCTTTTTTGTCACAAAAAAAATAATTTATTCAAATATCCAGATATCTTTTCTGTATTGTATGCCCTTAATCTTATCTTGAATGTAATGCATTGTTTATGCTAAATATTTGAATTAAATATGGAATAACAGTAATTCTGTATGAAAATCTTACTTCAAAAAAAAATTCTCCTGAAAGGTTGTAGACATTCCAAAGAACCTGCGCCACTTCCAAATTGTAAACCTGCATATTGAACTTGTCCTTTGTGGCTTTTCTTTTAGCTCCTGTTAAAAAATAAAAGATACATTGTATGTACATTGTGTGTATGAAGCAATAAATATAATTTTAAGCAACAGTTTATATTATCTTGCTTGTACTGAAGTCTTACATAGTCTTTGTAATGTTCATTAAGCTGTTAAGGGAAATTGAATTTACTGTTTTGCAAATACATACATACACTGATTTTACTAGGAAAAAAAATCTTCATATTCAAATGGTGCTTATATTAGTGTTATTGTAACTTGTTTGTGTGCCTCGGAAACAAGGTATTGAGTCATGCTTATTGCAAAAGTTGTTGTTGGTTTAAGTCTGTCAAATTTCTTTTTCATAATGTGTATTTAATGTAGGCAGTTAGTTGTTTTGTTTCAATTGTGTTGAGAAAAAATTAACATTTGTTTGTCAAGGCTTCAAAGTGGACTATATGGCATTGGTTTTCTCAGTTTTGAAAGCCGTACAGTGACCTATAATTTCTTTTATCCAAGTCATTTGAATTCTGGTGGATAGCTGTCTCATACACCTTATCGCTATTTCAGTATTTGGAAATCTGTCCAGCTTGAACTTTTTACGTCAGCATACGTCATACAATAATACACCTTATCGCTATTCCCGCTTGACCCGAGAATCTATCCTGCTTGAACTTTTGACGTCAAACAACAATCACTTTTCCATTGTGGCATCAGATATTTTTTATGATGACGTCAAAATTTTAAGGGAACTTGTGACAGTTGTGTGATGTCCAGTAATGGCAATCAACTAGCAATAATAAATATAAATAAATAAGCTTTATTTAGGGTCGGCAAGGTATACAAACAAAGACAACATAAGCTATAATGAGCTTTTAACCGACATACAAATAAGGTGTATTACTTTCAATTGTGGTGTCAAATATTTTCTAATATGACGTCAACATTTTACTGGAACTTTTGTGATGACCATGGCCAGTAATGGCGGACAAATAGCGATAAGGTGTATTGGCAATCAAACACACAAGCCACATATCCTTATAATTTTTTTATATCCATGAACAAATTCATAATTGGTGTACATAGATGCTTGAACAGTGGCGGATTTAGGGGCCCCGACCCCCTTATGGAGCTACTTATAAGATAAATGTATTGACTATTTACAAGTTTCACTCCAAACGTTTGCTTGCCTTGGGCAGGGGCCCCCCTTTATTCAAAACCTTGATCCGCAACTCCAGAAAGTTAAACAGATGTAATTTGGTTCCGATTATGATTGAACACACACAATGAATGCCCAAGTTTCATCTTAACAGATTAATCATTCTTACCATGTGAGTATATATCGCGTAACAAACAATTTTCTTGGCTCTCTTTGTTGATATCCTGTCTTCGTTTCGAAATTCAAATTTCAAAATCATTTCCGGTGATAAAACAAAAGTCGATTCCGGAAAAGGTCGGTTTTCCGTAAGGCATATAAACGATACGAAAATTGAACTTAGTACAGTTACAGTTTTCATTTATTAATTTCTAAAATATACACGAACGAAATGAATAAACATTAAAGAAAGGTGATTGTTTATTAATACAATATTGCTTAATTTAATGTTGACTCTTTTGAATTTTAATATAAGAAGGAATAAAAATCTGACTTCAAGGATCTTCAAGATATCAATTAAGGATTTCAACCGTAGTATCTTGCTTGTCATGATATTGATGAAATGTAGTACTATATCTTATCCTGAAAAAAACGAGCTATTTCCACAAAATGTTGTTTGTGGGGTTTTGAATAAAGTTTAAATAAAATGTTATTTTATATCCGTAAAACATGTAAAATGTTGAATAAAATATCAGTAAAACTATTAAGTAATGTGTATGCAGAATATTTTATAGAAAACATTTAGCTGATATTTTTCAGATGTTTTATGTGAAACATTTTAATTTTACGTTATAAAACATTTTATGCAAATAGCAAAACTATATTTTCTGTAAAACATTTTTTTGCAGAATGTTTTTTTGGATATTTGGAAAATATTTACTTTAAATGTTGTTAAAATATAAAAATACCAATTGAAGAAAATATTATTTTTTTATATCATAAAATATCTACGGGATATTTTAGAACAAAATGAATGTTTGAGAACATGAATAAAAGATATTAGCAAATAATATTTTGTTAATGTTGTAAAAACATTTTACTTAAATGTTAGAAATAAAACATTTCAAAAACAATAAAATAAACATTTTTTTTATGTTTAAATGATATCCTATTGAAATATTTTGTGAGAGACGTCCATATGATATTTAAAAAATGTTTTTAAAATGTTGTGTGTTTGCTGGGATTACAACAATCTTATATTGTTTTTTCGTTTTTGTTTATAGTCTGTATTACATGTACATGCATTTCTATTTTGTTTTTCGTCCTTATCTAATGTATTTTGTGATTATATTTGTAAAGGGAGAGGACTTCACTAATGTTGTTATAACTTGTGTTCAATCCCATTTGCTACTTTTGGAAATTACGTATGTTTAAACAAAAAACAAAACAAAAATAAGGTCAACGGAAAGAAGTCACACACAAAAAAAAAAAACTCACGTAAAAAGTAACAAACTTGTACATTTGGTACATGTACGTGTATATGTAAGAAAAAAGTCACAGAAATCACTACTCCATGTCATGTTATAGTGTTTTTGTTTTATGGGTCTTGTATTTTGTATAAACAATCAAAATTTGTGGTATTTCTACGCACCGGAAAAAAAAGTTGTTTTAAACATTTTTCAACTATTTCCCAATAAGTTCAATAATAGAAAAAAGAATATTTTGTAATCACAGCACACAAGCACAACTTAATTTAAAAACTTACTTGTCATTACTTCATATTTTACTGGATAATCAGACTTTTATGGAAGTTGTATTTTGAGTGCAACTTTAGATACGAAACCATATTGATATTTTGTAAAAAAAAACCTACACACTGCAATAATTCTGTATTTTCAACAAATTTCAATTTTTCTAGGAGAAAAACAATCAATAGGAAAACATGTTCCCGTTGTAAAAATATCTGTTCGAATGGGAAGAAAAATTATTCCCATAGGAAGAAAAAATGTTCCCCTGGGAAGAAAAATCGTTCCTATGGGAAGAACAATCGTTCCCATGGGAAGATAAACTGTTCCCATCGGAAAAGTTAAATTCCCATGGGAACTTTTTGTATTCTTGTTTTCCCATGGTAACTTTAAATTTTCCCATGGGAACTTCTAATATTCCCATGGGAAATGTACTTTTAATCAGCTGTAGTGACAACAGTGACAGCAGTGACATGTTGGGACATATTTTTGTTATCTTGTAAAACAACAAAGTCAGATTTGCCAATTCTGGAATGGCAATTTTGTCCCGCACAGTGCTTCTATATCACCAGCACGATGAAAACCCCATATTTCAGCCCAATAACTTAAAACGGATCCAACCATACTATCAAATAGAAAAATCTGTTGTTCAGTAGTCACATACATTTGTTTCAATGAATTTATAAGTGAAGACAACGCTTTTGAGTTTGCAAAAAAATTCCATTATAGTGGAGCAGCACACCGAGGTATACATAGGAGTTCACAATTTCTAATTCTCTGTCGTTGAAATAAAAACGGTTTCTTCTGTGTAGCTTATCAAAAGCCTTACGAAAGTCCAAGAAGGCACAAAACAGCTGAAGTTTGTGTACTAATACATGTGTTATAGTTCCATGCAATGTAAAAATGGCATCTACAGTTGAACGACCAGAACGAAATCCAAACTGATTGTCTATTAATTTCTGTTCGTCTTCCGACCATGAAAGCAAACGCTCCGTTAATATGCTAGTAAATATCTTAGAAAGAATGCTTACTAATACTATCAGCCTGAAGTTGTTTGGGTCCGACAAGTCACCGCTTTTGGGTACAGGGATAACTATACATTCGGTCCAATTATCTGGATATATTCCATTGTCAAACATAGAGTTGAAAAGAATTTTAAAAATAGGCGCAAAGAAAAGAGAATTAGCAGCTAACATTTCACCAATTATATCGTCACTTCCCGAACTTTTGCCTGTTTTAAGTTTCTGTATAGCTTTTTTAATTTCATCTTCTGTAATTTCGGAATCAAGAATATCAATACTTATGTCACCAAAGTCGGTATTGTTTAATAAATATAAAACTTCATCACAAAGTTCTGGAGGGTTCGATCCCAAAATCTTTTCGAAATAGTTCAACATCTCATCATTTTCAACTAAACATTTTGATCTGTTTTTCGGCGGACCAAAACTTTCTAGGTTCCCTTTTTGCAATATTACAAAGTTCAAGGCCTTTTCTTTTTTTGTAGTTAAACTGTGCATTACGTGTAGCTTTATTAAATTTGTTTCTAGTCGTAACATATATAGATATAAGAAGATGTGGTATGAGTGCCAATGAGACAACTCTCCATCCAAGTCACAATTTGTAAAAGTAAACCATTATAGGTCAAAGTACGGTCCTCAACTCGGAGCCTTGGCTCACACCGAACAGCAAGCTATAAAGGGCCCCAAAAATGACTAGTGTAAAACCATTCAAACGGGAAAACCAACAGTCTAATCTATATAAAAAACGAGAAACGAGAAACACTTATGAACCACATCAACAAACGACAACTACTGAACATCAGATTCCTGACTTAGGACAGATGCAAACAAATGCAGCGGGTTTAAACGTTTTAATAGGTACCAACCATCACCCTTATCTGAAACAATAGTGTAACATCACAACATAGAAAGACACACTATAAAATATCAATTGAAATGGCTTAACTCAATCAAAAGACATATTAACACAAGTGAACATACACTGAACGAATAAATTTGATCTATGATACAATGTAAATAAAAAAATTAATAAAATAAGGGGTGAATAAATAAAGGCAACAGTAGTATACCGCTGTGAGATGTTAAACAATTTAAAAAAAAAACAAACTACAACAACCTTGAACAAAAAGCCGCCAAATACAATAATAAACACAGGTAAATGAAAATAAATTTGTTGTAAGGTATACAGTTTAAATGGAGAACGGAAATATTTTTTACAAAATAAATAATTTTGTTGTTCATAGTACAAGAAGTGAAAATTTATAGTCATACCCAACACTTATCAAAGCTGGTATATAGACGAGATATATCCCTGAATAAGTAAACATTAAACAACAAAAAGGCATTACAAATAGTCTCAACAGGTCAAATTAACAAGAAAGTACGATTTCAGAGTACTCGCAGTTACTGACAGCTAGTTAAAAGCCAAAAACAATTAATAATAAAAAATCATGCATCAGAGACTAAAATCAACTAAAACACATCCCAGGGATTTAGTATTATAACGGCATGGACAGTCAAAGAAGACATGACTTGTGCAATGCCAAACATAAATGTATCGACCGGCAGTAGGACAGTTGGGAGTTAACCTCTTTATAGAAAAAAATGAACGTGGATGTGTCTTTATACATCCCGTTTGAAAAGAATACAATTTAGTTATGTTTTAATTTGCTGATGACAAAATCGATATTTGTGCCAATGTAAACTATATTCAAAGATCTAATTATAACATTGGTAAGATAACCTTTACTAATAAGTTTGTTTAAAGGTTCGATGAGTTTACACCATGTACACGGATCACATAGTGATTTCCGCGCTTTTAGTACAATATTACCGTAAAATTTAGGATGTGAAACACCGTTTTTAATAAGTACAGCCAAATTAACTAATCAAATCTTTGTATCTATGAAATATGAAT